AAAATTTGATGTTGAAAAAATATATTTGTATTCAAATCTGCAACCAAAAATTTACATTGCTGTATTGATAGATATAGCGATAAGGAGCAGCCTATGGATATCACCATATATTAGAACACAGATAAAAAGAAAGAATATTAATTTTGGAGATCTGCTTGGTGATAAAGATTTTAAATGGTGAAACAAAATAAGAAAATAAAATCCAACAGTCAATAAAAATGACTTGGACCTAGGTACCTATATAATACTGTTCATTGAACTGTATAATGAGCACATAACAGGACCATTTAAACACAATCCATATAACTTCAGAACATAATGAATGTATTAAAAGTTGTACAAAAATATAAATACAAATAGTAATCATAACCAAGTATAACACAATAACTCTGATAGTATAACTTTGATAACAGAAATATTATTACAAAATTCATTGGCATATAAAAGCACTTTTGATGGCCATTTTTGTTTGCGTTCGTTTGGAATATTGCATCCATTAAAAACAGTGTGCGCTTTTTATGAGGTGCGAAAGACCTCTATAGTTTAATTTAATCAGCTCAGCCACGAACAAACAGACTACAATATGTATTTTACAAGAAGCAGGTGGGCCAAAGCTACCATTAGAGAACAAATGTCATTTATATATCAGCTTTTTATACATATATATTATATATGTGTAAAAATAATAATATTGCAACGCTAGAAGAGTAATAATGATCATAAATGGGTTGTTGTTGACGTATAATTGAGTTTCTCGGCTCATGCTAAAAGAAGAATAAAACCCAGACTAAACGAATTGTGTACTTAGGATTGAGTTTTTATGAAAAATAGAATATACAATATTAATTGTAAAAAACCAAAACAAAATAAATAGGTATACTACTATAGTTAGTAGGAACCCACATCCACATCATTCTCAAGAATCTTACCATAATACATGATACGTCAACACTTATTACGATTATATATACTCTGAATATTGTTTGAAACAGAAAGACATTTTGAGTTTATTGGATAATAGTTATTAAATGCACCACTCAGGGTATTAACAAACAATTGTCAGTTTCTTTGTATACTTTCACTAATTCCAATAGTTAGGGTAGAGTATTTACGAGTTTGAAGTGCCCATGTAGTATAAAATTCGTGTTAAAAGATTTTTAGAATTAAACTACCTAGTATTATTTTATTTTTTTATAAATTCTATAAATTTATAAAATAAATAATATTAGAGCCTACCTAACTATCCAGTTAGTTAATTATGTTAACATACAAATTACAATAATCATAATTATAAAATAGTAGGTAATATAATCTACTATATTCTGCTTAAACTTGCAGTCTTAGCATGAATGTATAGATTTATACGACTTTTAATGAATTCTGCTACTTTTCTCACGCCCGTCACTGTGCACTGTGTAGGTACATGCATTATGCCTATAACACTTAATTAATATTATATGTTTATTTATAACCTCGTTTATAACTTAAGTGACAAAAATCATCGAACTAAATATGTGTTATTACTTATTACTTATTAAAACCTAAATACGAATATATGATATGTATGGAATATGGATATACAATGTACATATTTAGGGAATATAAATTATAACTATATAAGCTAGGTCTTTCATCTTTGTGTTTGTACGTACAAAGTTATAAAATATACCTACATTTTTTTTAAATTGTTGGATTATTTCGGGGATTATTTTGTAACCAGTAGGCTTCAGTACGATATAACTTAAAACAATATGAAAAAACATTACCAAGACTAGAGTGAAGACACGTGGCTTCAATTCCAATTCTTTCCTAGTAAATTAAATTACACGCAAACAACTTTATCTCAAACTTTATTTATATTTAAGTAATAACTAATAAATATGTATTTTGTGTTACGGAAACCTATAGGTACTTGACATATTATGGTCGATAATAATATATTTACAATGCCCAATTATTCACAGCTATAAAAAAAAAAACATTATGGCATAATATATACATTGCTTACCTATACTTCAAATTTTAATAGTATACCTACTAACATATCGGATCATAATAATAAAATAATAATATTATAGGTACAAATGTAATAAACAATTATAATAGATTTTGTTGCTGGTAGGTACTATAGGTAGCTAAATATTAGAATTTTGGATAACTAAGTAAGTAGAGGTTAGTCATTTTTTAATTATAGTCTAGCTTCATAAAAATAATATAACAATAAAGTTACCTATTCATTTTTAGCCAAAATGTATACAGTATATCGTAGTATATGTATCTTTAATAAATAATTTAAAGCCCAAGCAAGGTACCTACTACCTACTACCTTCCTTTATTTTTACTTATTTTTAAATTTTAATCCTTTGTAATATTTTTAAGTGAAATAGGTAGGAACTAGTCTAGGACCTCCTATAGAGGTTAGGTTAGGCCTTACCTTAAGTAAACGGGATATTGATGTATGTACTATACATTTAAACGTCATAATTAGCTTGAACTAGGTATAAGTATTAAAGTTACTTTACTTACTGTAGGTACTCACATTTATAATAAACTATTTTAAATGAAATCAAATATCTATTAAAATGTTTTATTATGTTACTTAATGTAGGTACCTATACCAAAACTTTACATCATTATATTTTTTGAAAAACTTCTGTTTTTTTAATATATGTTTGACCTCGTTTGTTTAATATTGACGTTTACATAAAAAGTTAATCACTTATCAGTTATCAGTAATCAGACATACAGACACACAATCATAAAGGTGACTCAAATAAATTAACCTACATACTGAGACACCGTTATGGGAAGACACTTGTTAATACAATTGACACTTAGTACAATTAATGATTATTTATACATTGAATTATATTTATGCATTTTACTCGTCATATTTAGAAAATGATGTGCATGTAATTGATTAATTACAGTAGGTACCTATTGGCTACTATTATATTTTCCTCAGATCATTTGCAGCAAGAATTTAGAATCCACCAATAATTTAAAATGTAACTTAGATAAACCCAATAAAACAATTTAATTTTTAAGAACTTAAACTAATAATTTAATTTAAGTGTCAAATTACGACTTACCTAATTTATTTTAAATACCATGCGATCAAATAATAATGATCCAAGACCATATTTACCGGGTAACGAATAATCATTGTGTTATCAAATAGTATGGTTTATCATTTAAAATCAGAGCTGCTGCGTTAAGTAGAAAATTTTTTTTAAAAAATAATTTAGTTTATTTCTGTATTTTATTTATTTTATTTAATATAGGTACTTTATAGGTATTTACCAACTACTTGATTACTAAAAAACCTTTGGAACTAAGTTTATTTTAATATTTTTAAGGTACTATTGTTACAACTAAAATGTATAGGTATCTTCTTAGGTACCACTTGGCATTTGAATATTACATAGATACTTATAATTTTTTTTTGTTCACCCTGTAGGTATCTATTATCTAGAGCGACTAAAACCTAGTATACGTAATAATTGATAAGCTCTATTAAAAACCCACTATAGACAGTCATTTTATGTCAACATATTTTATTTAATATACATCATACAATTATGATAATTGCATATTTTCCTATTAACGCGACTCTAGAAATCGATGATACAATGTATGGTTTGTTTCCACGAAATGTTGTTGAACCTTATCGTATATGGCTTCTAAATACGAATTGTTATTCCTTATTTTAGAAAAATAACAGATACACAGAATTTTATAATTCACAATAATAAAATATACTGACACATTACAATTTTATTTGAACATAGAGCATTAATTTTAGGGCATTAATTTTGATAGCCATCGTGGTAATAAATAATACAAATATTGAAAAATATTATGTTCATGTTTATATTAAAAAATGAAATTCACATTAATTTAAACTTTAAATATATGTAAAATTAATTTATTCACTTAATAAATAAACAGATAGGTTAGGTAAACTTATCAAAAAAACGTATTTCAAGAAGTTCGATTTGAAAATATAATTAACTGTAAGACGTTATTATAATATTAAAAGGAGTTTAATATAATGCGTAAAATATTTAGTTCCGATTTTTACCGTCAATTTTTATCGATGAAAAGTTTCATGATTTAATAGAATATATTTTAGACGTCAAAAATAAATTAGTTGCCTATCTAATTTACGTAATTAAATAATGCAAGTAAATAGGCAAAAGTACACATATCACTACTTACAACATTCTGTGTTGTTTTGATAATAACTACACTGTTTTACCTTTTTGTACACAACTTTAATATTATCAAAGAATGACGATAAAATTATAGTAATAGGCAGGTAACTCTTATACCTACCAACATAAAATTATATTTTTTCCAAATTGTATGTTACTATAAGGTACCTATAATTATAACTTGTATGATTTATGATTCATAACGTTTTATTTAAATTATCAGGGAACATTCGTCGTTGAAAAATTAATCGACTTACATTTAAAGCGCAGAAATGTTGCGTGCCTCAGATAATTATTAAATCGAGATAACGGTGAAATCAGTTGTTGTCGTATAACTACGAACAAACTTCATTTTCACCAATTAATTCAAATGTATAGGTCCTTTCGTATAATAGTTACACGACTTCAACGAGTACCTACTTGCGTTACGAGATAATAAAATAAATTGTACCACTACCTACCGTTGATTTTTAAAACATCCAACCACATTAAAAAATTATAATATCATAAGATGAGACAAAATTAATTTCCTGGAAAACGAGAAGGCGATACAAATAAAATAAATAATTTAATATTAAATAGATCGATACAAAACAGTTCATCGTTCCGATTTTGGCGTCAAATATAATAATAATAATAATATGGTGATTTCCGATTAGCATAACGGCCATGGGGAGGGAAGGGATGAATTGAAAGGTCGTGGAGATGACAATAATCAACCGTAAATTTATTATCTTAACTTGAGTATTATTTTATAATAATTTGTATGTCATAGGTACTCACTGCCAAAAGTTCGCAGAGGGTTTTCTGTCGTTCGCCGGCACTTATTCTTAACGGACAGTCGTTGGGTACGGAAAGTGAAATATAACAAAAAACCCGGCGATGGAATTAGAAAAAAAAAACCAAAACTCCCGATCGAGAAAAACGAAACGATTTTGTACACAGCCGGCTAATGGCGACGGCGATAACACGATCGACGGACAAGACCAGACGGTCGACGGACGTGAACTGGTCGCGCGACGCGGGCGAATAAAATCGGACGGGGATAGAAACAAGAAAAAAATATTATAATGGAAATCGCGCGCGCTCCTCGGCAGCGGTGGCACACCGACCAAAGACTGACGGACGGGACGGCGGCGGCGTGGCGACGGCAATGCCACCTATCGCCGGCACCCAGTAACTGTTCCCTACGACCGCGTCTTCTTGGGACCACGTTATGTTGTTATTTATTATTTTTCTGTTGGTTATTAATTATTATTATTGTTATTAACCCAACCAAAACTCTTCTATGGCAATCGGTCGAATTTTTTTCCTCGACCTCCTCTGCACCACCCATAGACATATTACTCTATGGCACCACCGGGTACGAATCCCGATTGTTTACTCGATAACATTATCTGTAGTTATTATTTATATTTTACACTATAATAATTATTTTATTACTTATATTATTATCTAATGCCATAAGATTATTTTTAACATATTTTAATTTTTATATAGTATGTAGATAGAAGTACAATACCTACTACGAATGTTTCCGTGGCTGATTTAAACAATACGTATCATTGTCTCAGGTCGTGTGCAACAAGTAATCGCGAGATGATAATAATATTATTTTAAAATCCAAGCCCGTGAGATAAATGACAGGACTTTTAAGGACCCTTATCCGTGCCTCATCTTAACCTTATCCGTGCTTCATCCGTGCCCTTATCAATGTCACTCGCACAGTCACACATCACACCTGATGCCCTTCCAGTGTTTCAGTATAGTCGTCTAAAAATGACTAAATTCAGAGTACATTGTTGTTTTATTTGTTGTCATTGGCCAGAATAATTTATATTTTTATTTATGTTGCATATTGCAATCAATTTTCGTTCACCAACTATTAGTTATTTCCAAGTGAAATTCGTTTTGGAATTGTATCGATTTGGTTTTTTTTGTTGTTGAAAATTACAAATTATACTGTGAGTTTTTTGTACATTTTTATTTATTTAATAAATACGCCTGCAGGGGCTGACATTTAATAAAATATATTCTATAACGAATAGAAAACACAACTGATGCATTTACTCAAAGCAAATAAAAAGTAATAAAACTGACACACTTTGATAATATTATTATATTCACTTATAATAATATATGAGATTATGAATTAATGAAGATATTATTTGATCACGATTTGTTTTTATGGTAATTAACCTGTAGGTACCTAACGATGTATTATAATTAATAGACCTACCGTCTACACTATTGTGGAACATTTTGTTAGTTAAAAATGTATACAAATTCCTGAACATCTATTGAAATTAGCGAAAAAATTTATAATGGTGACTTGGTGTTTTATTATTATTAAACAACTAAAATAACATAGGGTTCATTCGTAAGAATAGAAAGTTGTTTGAGAAAAGAATAATTCGATTTATAAATTAATTAAGATTATTTCGTTTATTATCGTCTATTAGTATAATATTATACAACAACCAATAATAGGTACGTCAATAGGTTTGTTTAGAAAAAGTAGAAGTTTGAATATTTCTGATCTCTAAAACACTTCCACCATCATCCCGAACTGTATTTTATGTTATGCAGTGGCTTAGCCAGGGAGATTTGATTTTGCACTAACCCCCATTGACTTCCCACCCTTCATAATGTATTATTATTTATATTATTGTAAATACCAAACGTAACGAAAACTGTAAAAATACTTAGTTAAATATCACCAGTCACCACTCATAACATAATTCTGGCTAAGCCACTGCAGATGCTGTTTAGCCAATAATCGATAAAGTAATATTTAAAAAAATTACATAACGTTACAAGTGCTAAAATCCTATATAGTCTAATTGAATATACAATAACTAACTTGTAAGAAAATGATTAAATAATAATATTAGTAATAATAATAATAATAATAATAATAATAATCGACAAGTTCGCATGGGAACTATAAGGACGAAAATTAGTTGAATACTATTTTGGAATAAAATAATACGTTTACTGATAAATGATAAATATTTTAGTATTAGTTGCTGTCAAGAAGAACCTCTCATAAAAAAGCAAAACATTTTCCAGACAGTGATGGTCCATATAGGTGACACGTATAATTCTAAATGCTCGAAAAAGAACTAGTCCAGGAATTTTTTCTCACTAGAATACTCATTACTTAATAATTAGTAATTACTAATCCTCAGGGGTGCCATCAATGAGCCTTTTATCCTATTTCGTTTAATTTTATAATTTCCAAATTTTCGAATTCGTTTAGTAACCAGTTTAAAATTTAAATTACTCGTTGTACTAATAATTAAGAAAAGTAATAATGTTTTATACAAATTATAAATAAATACATTATATTCAGATTAAATTTAAACAATTTATAATTTTAAAAAAAAAATTCTTATTTAATTATCATAAGATTTTAAAAACCATCATATTATACTGGTGGAAATTTCCTCATCGGCAAGATGAACTGTAACACAGTAGGTTTAATAAATAAAATACATTCTATAATTCATATTTACCTTTACCTATATTATAAACGTTAACAATCAGAACAGATAAAAGTAGAAGACGCTGTTGAATCGTTATATTTTTCAGTAACCTAACATACCTACTTTGGATTAGATGCAATAATTATTGTTTTTGTATTTCCATGATTTATTACCTCAAAATACTTTTGAGCCGTGTCCAAGATATTTCTTTCTGTCTGTTCAAATATTTACTGCACATCATTCGGCATTCTCTGGGTACAACCATTTTCTCTATATTTTATTCATCACTGTTTACGTACAAGAAATAGCAGGTACCTAGAAATAAACATATTTAAAAATTAAGCACTTTTTTTGTATCCCGGTCTTCGAAGACAAATGAAAAACTCTTTTGTAGCGTTATTAACTCTGTCAACAAGAGTATAGTGGCTAACCTGTTAACTTAAACAAATTGATTCATACATTTAAAACTTTTATTCTACACACTATATCCTACAAATTACAATAATTTAATAGTAAATATTAAAATGTAATAATACCATAATAGACGTATAATTTATTAGTTATTGTTAAAATCTTGTGAAATTGCTTATTATTACAATGATTTAATTGAACTATATAAAATAACTAATAAAAACACAAAGATACTTCCAGAAGGGACAACTAATAACAGTGAACCCACTCAAGTTGGTGACTTAAGTCTTCCTCTTCCATAGTTCCATCTCAACAATCGGGAATAAAAAAGATAATTAAACATATTGGTTGGGAAAAGATCGTCTCAGAAGAATGTCCCAAGTATCAAAGAGTAAACCTTCATAGAAGTAACCAGTTTGAAACTCTTGGAAGGTCTTAAAAATAAACTGAAGAAGTGCTATGACGTCATCACTAATGTCGCTGGTACCAGCTAGGGTTGCCACACCGGTGTACTCAAGACTACAGTACTTGCTCTGATGTATAGCGTTGCCAAATATTGTGCACCCGTGGTAGCTAGAATCACTCAGTGTAGTAAAGTTGATGTTTAACCAAACCGTGTAATAACCATCATATCAGATACTGTTAGGTCTTAGGTCCACTCAAATAGTATGATTACATATTCTCTCCAATGTATAGCCCTTGCAAACCTAAGAAGACTATCCCACACCACAAGTATGCTACAAAACTTATCAGCCTAAAGAATCTACCATTACAAATGGACATTCTTAAATACCCATCGTATCATCAATATTTACTACCATATTATTATAAAAATAAAGTTAGTTTTTTTTTCTATTTTTAGCTTTTGTGCATGAAATTATATATTTCATAAATGTATATTTTATACATATTTCAGAGCTTGAGCATATTGCATACAAGTACATATTTCATTTTTTCATGTTTAATAGTTTGTGTTAGGTAGGTATCAGCAAAAAATGTAAATTTGTACACTAAAATATTATTCTGTATGTATCATGTTAGTACCTATATAGTATATAGTATATATTCATCAACTACTGCATCAACATTTTAAATTACATCAAATGTAAACGCAGTTGTTATAACATTTTATGGACATTTTGCATATTATAATAAACTAGCTGCATTTTGTTGCCCGTTAAAAATGCCAACTTTATGTGAGACTCGATGGTGATAATGCGAGCAGTACCTATATTATGCCTACCTGCTGTGGATTTCGGACCCCGCTTGATGAGTATTTTATATAATTAATATGTTTTATTTTTATTTTGATTGCGGACACGCCGATGAGCGGCTATATATATATAAGCGCAACTCTGCCACCTTGGTGGGCAATGTGAAGAAAATTCAATTGAATGAATGCTTATACCTGATCTGCATGATGAACCACTTAAGGCAACCAATAAACACGAAAAAAAATACCAAGTTCTACTAAATATATTTATATTCCTCCTATAAGTTACAACCAATAGCAACCGTATATAAACAAATATTTAATTCGTAAATCTTAAAATCAATGTAATTCAACCTAACCTAACCTTGAGCAACTTCCCGGGTTAGACCTATCGGGTCCGATTGTGAATCTAAACCATCCAGTGCGTCACCCAAACATATACAAAACAATTCATTAAAATCGGTCCAGCCGTTTAGGAGGAGTTCAGTGACATACATACGTACAGTAGAATTATATACATAAAGATTAAAAGATTTATTATACATCGGATCGCCGTATACATGGAAATATATGGCTTAGTTTTTACAAATGAGGAAGTCGATTTCATTATTTTTAGAATATGCTAAAATTTCAAATTATGTCAATATCAGGCTCAAATTATTGGTTTTTACAGAAACTAAGCAAGCAACGCTACAAGTGACGTGTTATATCTCACACAGTCTGATAGTCATACAACGGTATTACAACACACCTACTAATCCCGAGTCACGTACGTATTTTTTCCATATTCGGGGTTCTGTTAACCCAACAGGAAAATTAACTAAGAACGACGATTTATACCTTACAATTGAATTGTAACAAAAACATGATGCACGTCATATTAATTATGAGACGTCTGAGGTGGATATACATGACGTTTTAGCCTACTATAAAAACGGTTAAAGTCACTTTAAAAGTGTGCATCGAATATTTATTTTATAACACACTAAACAGCCAGTCTTCGTTTGATCACAGATTATAT